GCGATTGTCTCAGCACATGCTGAAAAACACACACATGAAGCGAGGGCTCTGCTTTCTGTTGTACATTCAGGTGAAATCCTCACAGGGCTCATTTGGCTACTGCCGGGTGTAACTCATCTGAATCCAGGTTCACACTTCAACCGGGCCGCGGTTGGCAAACAGACACAGACCAGATGAATCCGTGACTCGTGCTGTGTCTTCTTTCAAGAGAAAATCTGGAGCGTTCTCTTTCAAAAAAACGTCTGCTGAGACCACACACTGCACTGTCCAAATACAGCTTTTGTTTCTAATGTTTTTGAACCACAAAAAACAACCCCTGTTGTCCAAGACTGTTTCCAACGCCATGCAAGGTGTCGCATTTAAAACATTTAAATATCATAACATTGTTCTGGTTGTATAACATCGAAATTCATGGCAGTGTGATCAGAAATGCAGTATCTAAGGAAGCCCGGCGGTGGCCAGATGACCAAGCTGATTAAGCCATTAAAGTCCTTGATATGTATTTAGCATAATCTGGCCTGTCTGCAAATAAGGAGGCAGGGAGCTGGTTGCGACTGTTTTTATTAAAAGCGGCTAGTTAGCTCAATCAAAGCACCTGCTGGGAAGCATCAGCTTTAATTCAGTGTTATGAGGAATAGAGAGGAGCTTTCTCTCTCCCTCTCAGGGGTGAAGAGATTCATTTCTGTCATCTGAAGAGATGAGGAGTGATCTGCCGTGTTCCTGGTCCTTTCATGTTCTCAGCTTAATTTGAGCTGAATCAATGTTTATCATTCTGCAGCAACTGACCGATTGGCTGGGAGGGAGGATGGTTCTGCTCCCTTTTTTTTTTAACTATGATTGTTGTTCTGCTTGTACCCGGCAATACTGTTTCCCCCTGGGTTGGATTAGAGCTAGTCAGATAATGTTTTAATCAAACATCTGCATTTTATTCATGCTGTGTTACATGATGACATTTTATTCCTGCATAATGAGGAATATAATATGTGGCCGGACAAAACATAAAAGCGGCTCAGCAGCCAATTCTGCTTTATAGTGATTCTTTTATTTGCTTGAATAAATAAATTGATGTTAAACTGATACCTTAATGGAGTCTTAGCAATTAAGGGTAAATGTCATGTCAAATGATAAGTGTATTCTACACTTTTGGCTTTATGTTGGTTTTTTACCTCACACAAGTCGGTTGCTCGATAATGCTCTGGCGTTCTTAAGAAAGTAAAGGCTGCGTATCAAACCTCAAATCTTTTGGAGTGCTGACAAGGATGCAATTCATCGTCGGGGATTAAAATCTGTCTTGGGTGTAATTCTGAAATCAAGCCTGTATTACAATTTCTCAATTATTATTATTATTTTTTGCTCTAATAGGGTATTAAACAGTATTTTGGGCAGGTGTTTTATAAGAAGGAGAATATAAGAACGGCTGCTTGGGTTGGAGATTACATTTAAAATTGATCCATTAGTTGTCGATCTTATTTTGTTACGGAAAATGATATAATGGTCTTGAAGTTTTGTAAAATCAAAAGAGAGGACGTACTGACCTAAAACCATGTCTAAGCACTACTAAGGGGTGTGCATTAATAACAGATGTGTTATACTTCATTAAGTCCTTACTTTGCACTTTATCTCACTTACAACCACATATTGCAAAAGAGCTCTTTCGATGAACTTCGAGTCCACATATCTTTTTTCATCAGTGACGTGGAGGCAAATTACATTTTCGGTTCTATCCTTTCTTCTCTCTCTCTCTCTCTCACTCTCCTTCCCTCCCTCTTCTCTCCCTCAGCTGCACACTCCTCGTCTCTCCAAAAAGCAAGCGGGCTGTCGTCTCTCCCTTCTGTCTGGCCCATCTGTGATGCAGTATGGGCCACTGGCTTGATAATGATAGGCAGGCGGAACGTAGGGAACAAACCTACCCGCTTAAAATGGAAGACAAAACTCTAATCAGTTGCCTCACCAGGTCTACCAGAGGTCTCGCCTTGCTGATAAAAGGTTTGCAGTAGCGGCTCGCGCTCTTCACTACGGTCCTCCCACCCATTCAAATGGTCATGCACTGCAGAGATGCGAGGTAGTAAAGAGGCGGAGGACAGAGTCTTGCTAACACAGCAGATGTGAATCTTCCGAAAAGCCATCGGACCAGGATTGGTACCATGTGTTTTTCTTTCCTGATCGCCCCTCCTTCCCCCCGGTACTTGTGTTAGAGCAAGAAAAGGCCCAGGGGCTCGTTAAAACTTTAATATACTGTACAATCACAGTAATTGAGTAGAATGTTCAAGTTCTTCCAGTCATGCTTTTAATTTATGAAGTCCCTATGAAAGTTTAATGGATCAGCAGTTGTAGAGTCGCAGCTATCTAAATCATTTTGCAGCTATCTCTCCCTGCGCTGCCTGCCAAGTCCCGCCGTTAGCGTCCTGTGCCCTAGAAAGATGGCCAGATTGCTCCAAAGGCACGTCTGTTCAACACATTGTTACCTAGAGGTCTTTCACTGAGCCGTCCGATTGGCTGCGAGCTACCAAACGGGGTGTTGGCATCGATTCTGATAGTTTTCACCAAGTATCCACTGCGTAACTTTGGGGTTCCTTTTCTTCTATTGTATTATTCATGCTATCAAGTACAGGGTCCCTATTGCTTGATGAGTGTAATATAGCATGCTAACTTAATTATGGAGCAGCCCTCATGAGAGGCATACCAGAGAATGCAGACACGATGAATACGGTGCCCTAGCTTCTCTTGCTTAAGAAAAATGGGAAATGCAGCAATTTGCATGGAAAGAGATAACGTATGCCATATCCTTGTTTCTGTTTGAGCAACTCTAGCCTGACCGTACTTGAGATGTTTATTATTGTTATTAATATTTTGTCAGGGAGCAGGGTTCTGAGTGGCACAAGGCCGTGGAAGGGGCTTATTAAAATAAGTTATTGTCGGCGATCGCCGTAGAGAGATGCAACATAGTGATTAATGGTGTGTTTTACATCTGAAAAAAAAGCGCAGGGAGACTCCGACTTGGGAGGACGGCACTGAGAGATCACTGCAAGGAAATTGCTAGGTACGTTTTTACCTCTAATGAAAGAAACTATCCTTCAAATGTGCGTCATATTGGACTACTAAGGGCCATAGGGAAAATAAACCTGTTCTAATTTACTTTTGTTTTGACCTACTTAATGTTCTCCCATCCGATCGTCCATTATGAAACAATCTTTTTTTTAACATTATGTCATGATTGCATCACTTAAGCTCTAAAATGAAAACAAGCTTGTTATGGCGTTTCCCGCTGTGACTTGACAGGTAGTGGGACAACATTTAGAGACACACGACTATCGCGGTCTGTTGTCGCTCCTTAACTGCACATTTCAGTCACGCGGTCTGTGTGTCTCAGCTTCAGGAGCATGCAGATGATGTCCCTGGCGACTTTTCCTTTAAACTCCTGTTCCCTATTTCAAACTGAAGCAAAGCAAAGAATGGAAACAGGCTGGTTGCCATCTAGTTGTCACAGTCCAGTGCAGTCCAATCATATCCCCCTCCCCTCCTGCCTTGTCCTATCCCACACTGTCTGTGTTAGCGGTCAGGTCAAAGCTGACAGCCTCCCGTCTTATCAGCTTTTTTCCCATCATACACTTATCAAAGCGCCCTTTCTACTCCTCCTGCCGCTGTTTTTTGTTTACATTGCTCTTTTCACGGCAAGTAAACACCGGCAGTTATCTTTCAGATGGCAACATCACCGATAAGCCACATCTGCTGCTCTGTTGTACATCTGGAGTGTGTAGTAGCAGTGCGTGCGCTTTGAGGGGAAACCAGACTTGACTTGTTAAAAGTGCAGTTCATGTTTATTCATTTTGTGAATCAAAACATTCTGAATAAATTACTATAGCCCTATTGTGACAGTATGGGAAACGGTATAATGCCTTTGAAGGTATAGATATTTTGTATTTGCAACCCCTGGATTATGATTTGATTTTACTTATTTGACTTTAATTCTTAAACCTATACAACAAACTTCAGGGGGGGTGGGGCAGGGGGACTCTCAATTCTTTAAGACACTGCATGGTTGCATGTTTTCCCCTATAATGTTGTCAGTGTATTCATATATGTGAATCTGAAGTTGCCCAGTAGAGGAGGCTGTGCTGTGCTCTGTGGTTTGTGTGGAACACTTACTTCCTTCTAGTAGCCACCAGGTTACATTTGACCCTCAGTCACAAGTTATTGTGAATCCAACCTATGCAACAACCCCCCTCCCTCTCTCTCCAGGGACATACTTCAGCAAACATGTCAGTCCCCAACCTTCCAAGTCCCTCAGGGAAGATCCATTCCAACGATGGGGTTAGCAGTAACCACTAAACACTGTAAACACTGTAGCTTTACACTCTGTGAACATCCAGGGGCCTCAGCAGCGTGCTTGCTGTGTACACTATCTGGCTCAAGTGATGTCAGAGGGGGCAGTGGATTTAAGCAGGTTTTAGCTTGACGCTAATCCCCTCGTGGCACACACTGTGGACGACAGCACTGTCCCAGCCAATGACGTGCACGAACCCCATTGGATTAGCGCGTCTTGTCCCCTCCTCCATTCTGTTGGCATTGTCCAGCATGTGTTTTTACCCCAATTTCTTTACTCCCGGTTTTATTTTGGAATGTAAGCCTGACACCCAGCACAAGCATGATCCCTGCTGTAGAATGGAGTAGAGCCTCTCCCTAAAGGTGTGTTTGTCTCTTGCTTGTGTGTTTGTCATGTTGTGCCTCTCTCTTCATTGATTTCTAATGTTTCCAGGGCTAAATTATTTAGATAGGCTGCCAGCAGGGAGCTACATGATAGCGTGGACTTAAGAGTGAGGGATGGGGGGGGGGCCTACAGCTGCAGTTCAGGTAAAAAGGTAGCTCATGCTTCACCTTTTCTCATCCTCTCTCCACGTCTCCCATTTGATTGGTGGTGACTGAGTGTAACTTGAGAGTAGAAACACAATACCCGGCTCTATTTTCCGCTTTTATAGCTGCCCGCTTCATTGTCTTCACTGATGCCTAACTCAAGTGAGCAGTCGCATTTTGGTGGTGCTCTGGGCCAACGGGGTCCTGAATGGTCTGAAGGTCAGAACGACAGGGCTGCAAGTCGCTGTCAACACTGTGGCACCATTGCGGGACGTAGGAATTCTTTTTCACAGGGTGGAGCTGACTGTGGAGCTTGGTTTCACCGTCACCTAGATTTTTGTGAGAAAGCTGATACAGACCTCCAGACCTCCATGTACAGGCAGGCCCAGCAGGAGCGGCGTGGGCAGCAGCTACTGAGGAAGACATCTGTGCCCGATCTCAGCAACAGTCTCTACCTCAGGCAATTGATGGCAGGCCGGGCCTCTGCACCACCTCAGGATTACTACCTGGCTGACGCTACTTTATCTGGCCAGCTTCCTGACGAGTCTGGATTTTATAGGGATAACCAGCACCTGCTCAACAGATCAGGCTCGCATTATGGGCCTAGCGCTGGGGGGTTGAGGCCTACCTGGGATCAAGGACAGGCAAGAGCAACACCTTCCGTGCGGCCCTCCGCCTCAACACCTACCCCCGTGCCTCCTCCCCTTCCACCTCCTCCTCCTCCTCCTCCCCTTCCCGTTCATGAGCTGAGCCGCTTGTACAGGGAAACACTGGGATCTAAGATGATACCAGACATCCACCGTATTGGCGGCTGCTCTCCCTCTCCTGCAGTTTACGGGGGCCAGCCCCCTCTTACCTATTACAATACTGAACAACCGTCTCTCTCTGCTCGTCAAGCTTATAACAATATCAACAGCTTTTCCCTGGACCCTCGCCAGCAAGCTGCATCCAGTTCAGCGCTGGACGCAGCTTCTCAGGGAATGGACGGAGCTCTTCACCGCGCGTATGGAGCTGTAGCCTCCCAGAGGATGCCTTATGACCCAAACTATGACCCCAGCTCAGCCATGATGGCTGCCACAGCTGGAATGAACTCCAGCATGCCTCATCACCATCAAAGCGCTCTAGACCCCAAAAGGATGGTGGACCCTAACTTCTTGGGTTACCTGCGAGCTGAAGGCTTGGCTGAGAGCACTATCACTCTTCTGCTGCAACATGGTTTTGATTCTGTTGCCACGTTGGGAATGATGGAGGACCACGATGTTCGCTCTTTGGCCCCTAACTTGGCCCAAGCCCGTGTTCTCTCTCGTGTGGTGCTTGGTAGCAAGGCAAGTGGGGCAGCAACACGTACTCGATCCAATAGCTTCAGTCACCGCGAGCTTTACATGCAGCCCCAGGGTTTGACCATGGACCCCTGCCTGATGCAGCAACCGCCCAGCACCATCCAGAACGTGTCCCCCAGAATGGGAGAGTTTCTTGGTAGAAGACCCAGCAGCGCACCCTCCCAACACCTCCTGGAGACCACCAACTACCAAGTAGCACGGCCCCTGGCAACTGGAGCTTTTCCAATCAGCCCCGGAGGATATAGCAATGCTGTCACTCAGGGAAGACCATTCTCCATGTACAATGCCCACACCGGTCTTGCCATGTCTGCTCTTGGACAACAGCCTCCACCAGCTCCAGGCACCCCTGGAGCGGCGCCCAAAACCTTTTCTGGTTCCTATTACCCCATGGAGCTGATGAAGAGAGCTACCAACCTTCCTCCACCATCGCCAATAACAGCGGCAACCCCCCTTCATAGCCCCCAACTTCTCCGGAAAGGGATGAATGCTGCTCCTGAGAGTAACATTGTTCCTGTAACTTCTTCATCCAATCTCCAAGCGCAAAACCTTAACAACAGCAAGTTGGTAGGACGTCGTACTGGTCCACCTGTCATAGTCTCAACTATGCTCTCCGCACCTGACACAAGTAATGTCAAACCTCACATATTTCCCTTCATTTTTTCAAACCCTTTCATCTCTGTCCTTGTTGCTGCTTTCTCTATTTCTTGTGTAGGCTTTGGAAATAGTATTTTTCTGTGTTGTGTTTTGTCATAGATTAGATGCAAGGTGAGATTTAAATCTGTTTATGATTGATAGATTTTTCCAATACTACAAAAACCAAAGTAGAAGCATAAGATGCAGCTGACAAGTTAAGCAGATTTGCTCCGAGAGGTCTTTTTTTTATTATACGCAACTATTCATACACTTATTGCAACAGGGTTGTGTCATTTGCCGGAGGGGATCCTGTCTCATAACCAAGTTGAAACACTTCTTATGTGCAGCACTCTTTCAATTAGTTTATTGGTGAGAAGCAAAAGTGCTATTTGAGTTGTTTTGTAGTGGCATCTTGCTTTTTTGAGGTTTAAAGTACACACTTATATACCAGATCATTTTACTAACTATTCTCTTACTATACACTTTACATTTTACTAAGATATGGTTAGAAAATGTCAAATAGACATACATTTCCAACTTATCTCTGCTAAAAGTTTCCTTTACGCATGGTTGCTGTCATACTGTTTTCTATTCTACTCTCACCTAATCGGAGGCTTAACTGCCTCAACATCCAATTACACTAATTGGATGTATAGTTGTGTAGTCTATAATAGGTAACTGTTTTTTATAGACACACTGATGTCTGTTTGAAACTCTGGTTGCATTGTAGTGCCACTAAACTTTGGTTCATTTATTTGTTGGTTTGCTATACGCTCAATTGTACTCGTCTCAAGTAGTAGTTACAGGATATTTGTTCTCCACCCACTCTAACTGAAAAGTAATTTCAAAGTATGTCTCTTCTGCTTTGCGCTGCTTTCAACAATTCTTAGGAATTGATTTGCAATTTTATAAAGTTACAGTGATAAAATAATTGTTCTACTTTTGAAGGTCTTGTAAACTTAGGCTGCATATAAAATGGCAAAACCAATGTTGTCTTCTTGTGTATTCTTTTTAACGCTGCAGTCCTAGTGGCCTCACAGAATGCTTAATAATGTTTGAGTTTTCTGTGCAACTTGTTGGTCTCATACAATGATTAAGCAAGTAGTTTGGCAGCTTTTTATGCTTAGTTTACCTTGACAGTGGATTCCTCAGCAAGCTATCATAAGGTTATGTCAACAAAGAAAGGCCTTGATTTCTCCCTTTTACCAAGTTGATTTATTTCCCTGCCAAATTCAGCAAATGAGCTTCGGGAAGAATTATATATTTTAACCTTGCTTTTATGCCATGTAACCCTGTGTCTTGCCTGCCTCTCTAATGGGTCTGTGGGCTGCTGCACTTGTTAAAAAGTAATGACTTTTATGAAGTGGCTTCCCTTCATGTCATGTTCTCTAGGAACGAGTGTGAGATTCAGAGGCGGGGGGAGGAGTTGTGGGGGAGGAGGGAGTAGGAAGTACCTTTTTTAAGCTTCATGCACAAACCCGTAGCTTTCCAAGGTGACACTGGCAGCCCCTCCCCGCTCTAGCAGTACACTTTTAGCACAACAAACCCATTTGCATGTAGCTGACATTTATTGCTTCAGTAACTTCATCTGATAATGGGCAGCCCTTGCCGCTGATCGCAAAGCATACTTCTTAATTGTGTGTTGCTAGGCAACCTAGGTTTTGGTGGTAATCAGAGATAGCTGATCTTCACATTTAGGGAAGGGGAAAAGTGAAGCCCTGCATGCAGTGTTTCACATTTTTTGCACTTGTTACTCTTTACTTTTGGTCAGCCATGTGCAGTGCTGAACAGGGGAAAATTGATTGAGATAATAAGATGTTGCTGGGCACTTAATGAAAACATATTTCTCTACACTCTTCCTCACTCTCCCTCTCTCTGAACAGTGCACATCTCAAGAGATTGCTTCTCATTTTTGAGTGCATTTTTGTGCAAGAGCTTTAGTACATCAGTGAAGAGATTCTCTTATTACATGCATGGTGTTTTATGTTCAAACATGCATATTGATGAAAAGTTGACACATTATTCCTTTTGAACCTACTGAATAAATTGGTTGTTCTTCCAGTACAAACCAGTGTTCTCTTTATCATCTTGCATCAAAGTGTAAAATTACACATAGCCGCCGAGGCTTCCACATTTCCATATTGGCAAATTATATTCTATTCTCAAAGCAGAGTTTTGAAAGCAAAGATTTGAGCTTTAGTGAGATCGGTAACTCCTTAAAATATGTATGTAGAAGTTGCAGGTGGGAGGGCCCTTTCTGTGTACTCCTCTCCACAGGGCGCTGTCTTGGTTGGCTAAAGCCATAAGTAGTGTTAATAATGGCATTAAACGGTTGAGGCGAGCTTAGTTGCAACAGTTCCCTTCTATCCAAAGTAGGGAGAGCGCCTTGCAGCATTCGCATTGGCCATGGAGTTGTCCGTCAGTAGCGTCCCACAGAACACCACAGGTTGGTAAACCTAACTTTGATGTCACGTGAAGCAGAATAGCCAACCCGCTAGTAAGAGACGTGATTGGCTTGTCGCCAGCATTGTGTGTGTGCTCATTAGATTAACTAAGGTGGACGCTTGCATGTTGTCGACAAATGCCAGCACGTGATTTACTTGTGGAGATAATCCAGAGAAGATCTTCAGATGTACTTTTCTGTGCTAAAGAATTAAGAGGCGTTTGAGTGTTTGGGGGCAGGGCTTGAAGCTCACAGGAAGTAGAGATACTAGAACTTTGTTGAAGCTATATGGTATGTGTTAGTCGACATGTTCACCTGTACAAATGTTTTGTCTTTGTGCCACTTTATCCGCTCAATCGCAAGTTTAGTTAAAATATAGCAAACATACCCCCCCCCCCTTCTTTTGACAGGAAGCCATCACTGGTGTCGCTGACAGTTATGTAACCTTCCAGTGCATTGCTCCCATGAGAGCCTGAATGGGATTTTATTTTTGCCTGCCTGTATTTGGAAGGACCTCCATGAAGATGCATTCCTAATGTGCTCGCAACTGTCCTTGGCTAAACTGCTTTGTTTTGTTCAGGTGTCTGACATTGATTTTAGCGTGCACTCCCTGTCTGTTTTCCACATCCTTGATGTGTCAGTCTTGGACTTTGGTTCTGGACACACCTGTTTTATGTAGCGTCGGTTTCTCTGTTCAGATACCTTGCTTTGTTTGTGTGAGAGTGCTTTGATATTTTACCTCAAATGCATAATTCCAAAGTATTTTAGAATTTTTATATATGGACATGCTTGTGTATTTTTGTTGTGGACTACACACAATGCAGTGGCCCCCTGCTTTCCTTTCAAACACAGACCACAGATGTCCCTCTCCCAGCAGCAGGAAGTGTTTGTCTTCATGTGAGGCCGGCTGGATGTGACAGCAGGACATTGGGACAAGACCTTAACAACTGATCATGTGTTTTCTTTGCGAAAGTGAGGAAGACAAATCCCTGAAGCAAGCAAGCAGTGATGATGATAGCTCCAGTTTAGGCTTGTCACATATTTCAGACATGTTGTTGTCTGCTAATTAAATATGAATTATGATAGGTAAAAAGGTATTGACCAATTGGTTTACCTAATAATAAGATATTAAAAAGCTATTAGTGGAAACCTTAATCTCTTTGTAATTAGTTTAATTTGAATTCTCATATCCTGAAAAACAGACACAAGTAAACAAAATATTATCACAGATGATTAACTTCTTGATGCCGTAATGGGTGAGGGGGCTAGTGGCTTACGCTACCTGTCCAGGAATAGGCTGAGAATTAAAGTGGGGAAATCCCACTGGCCATCTGTGTGTGTGTATGTGTGCTATGAACATGACTTGTGTGTGTGGATGCTACTATACAGGCGTCACGTGTCAGTGTGTGTCTGTCATCCTCACTAATCCCTTTGATATGAATGAGTGGAGACAGACAAGAGGTTTGAGCTCACAAGGCATCGGTCAGGGGTTATTACAGGGAATGTAGCTGGATACTAATCAGTGTAACCCTGCTCTAGTATTGACGTCATATAGCACCACATGTGTGTATTAATGTATTGTATCTATGGAAGCCAATGCCTATTAAGACATGTTCAATGCAGTAACAGAGTTATATTGGGTATGTCTGCGGTGAGGTTAAAGTGTTGTCTTTTGGATTTAATTTGAGTTTTTTGACCTGCCAGATGAACAGTTTAGGTAATGTAACCCTTTGTGTTTATCGCTTCATCATTTAAGCGTTCACAAACTAATGAAGTTTACGGAAAATAAACCCATTACATTTATTTTCGTCTGAAAGTATTTTATTTCTAGGCTTTTTTGCCTTCTGACTGGTCTTCAAGAAGTAAAACAAATTATCTGTTGTAAAAAGAGTTTGTCGATCATACTACACCGTTAATCCATAAAAAACATGTCTGAATGTTTTTGTTTGTTGTTTTGCTTTCGTTCGGGCACCTAGTTAGGATGCCACCTGGGCGCCTCCCTAGGGAGGTGTTCCAGGCACGTCCAGCTGGGAAGAGACCAAGGGGTAGACCTAGGGACCAGGTTTGGAGGGATTATATCTCTTCGCTGGCCTGGGACGCCATTGGGACCCCCAGTCAGAGCTGGTTGATGTGGCCAGGGAAAGGAAAGTTTGGGGCTCTCTGCTGGAACTGCCACCCCCGCGACCCGACCACGGATAAGCGGGAGAATGAATGGATGGTTTTACTTCCCTGTCCTAAAATGTGGGAACTGTGTTTTTAAAAGTGCCCTTATAGACTGTTCAAAACTTATAAAATACAAGTTTGAAGTTAGGCCTTTCATTACTTAATTTCAAATCTTATGTGCTGTAGTGTAAGTGCAAAGCCAAAACAATGGAAAGCTTTCTGCGCAATCTGCCATGTGTCTCCCGTTTCCTGAGAACCTGGTAAATGTTACATGAAGTATCTGCTGCTCCATCTCCACTCAGCCTCTGTATTGTTTGTGTCTCTTGGGAAATATGGCCAGGAACATCTATTTTTCCACTGCAGTAGTTTTGTCTCAGAAAAAAATC